TGTATGTCCCAATTAGACTAATCCTGTCAGGAATCAATTAGAAAAAGGGAACCTACATTTTCTGAGTAGCTTATTCTGTGTCCATGAGACGCCCAGTATGAAAGACTTGTTTTAGGCCCTTTATGCTGCATTGTCTTACTTAATACTCGTAACAAACATGAAGGGTAGGTATTTTATTTCCCCTTTGTTGTGGATGAATAAACAGGTTTACAGAGATTAGATAATTGCTCACCCAAAGATTACTAGAAGGTAAATGACTGGGGCCATAATTCAAATCAGGTCATGAAATCTGAGCTGTCCTCAGCATGTCATACAGTATCTCATTTTACCTGTTTTATATTCAGCATCTCTGAATATATTATAACTGAAAATCTCAGAATTATAATATTCTGAAGCAAAGCTAATCTTAGAATCTTCAGCATGTTGAAACTCATCACTCATTCACCCTTTTGTTTATTCTCCATCCATCCGCCCGCCCACCCATCCATCCATCCATTCATTCAGGAAATATGTATTGAGTCCTTAAACACTGTCTTAAGATCTGAGGATATAAGGCAGACAGGAATCCTGTTTTATAAGAACTTATGTTTTAGTGTGGAAGGCAGTAAACAACTAAATGACCAAAATAAATTTTCATAGAGGTAATACTGTAAATGATGTTGCAATGTTAACTAGAATAGGGGATGGGGAGAAGACTGTGGGGCTGAGATTAAAATGATGGGAGTCAGCAATGGAAAGATTGGGGTAAGGGTCTTCAATGCAGAGAGAAAACTGCAAAATTCAAAGGTCTTTCAACAGGGTTAAAGATGAATAGTGCCTTTTATATATTAATTTAAAAATAACTTTGAGGAGTATATGACTACAGACTTGAAGATTTTAATTCTTTTTACTCATAGTTTTCAGACTGATACATCTAATAAATACATCCCTTGTTACTGATGAACTTTGTATTGTTGTAGAAAGTGAGTTGGCCAAGCAAATATAAAAGTATAATTTTGAATTTGCAAAGTTATGCTTTAAATATTTACTTGCTGTTATTCCTTGTGTAATCATAGATGGGTAAGGAAATTACAGGAATGTAGACATGATCTCTCAGTGATAGCTTTACTTACTGTGCCATTTAGGTGATGATGATTCGTCCAGTATACTGTTTTATTTGGCAGGGAGACAGAGTCTTGCTCTGTGGCTCAGGCTGGAGTGCTGTGGCAGGACCTCAGCTCACTGCAACCTCCGCCTCCCGGGTTCAAGTGGTTCCCGTGTCTCAGCCTCCCAAGTTGCTGGGATTATAGGCATGTGCCACCATGTCTGGCTAATTTTTATGTTTTTAGTAGAGACAGAGTTTCACCACGTTGGCCAGGCTGGATTTGAACCCCTGACCTCAAGTGATTTGCCTGCCTCAGCCTCCCAAAGTGCTGAGATTCCAGGCGTAAGCCACCATGCCTGGCCCATCCAGTATATTTTTAACATCTACTGTATCTCATAGCAAAGCAAGAAATATCAAATCAGTGGCCATTATACAAAATATGGGAGCTAAAAGTATGAAATCGTATTCCTTGTTCTGCAGTTATTATGGAGAGATTCAATAATAGCACACTTTTATTGAGGTTCACTAAATTCATAAACTGTGTCAGTTATGTGTCATAGATGGAGTTCCCAATGTAGAAGTGAGACAGACACAAATAATGACCTCTACCACAATATTCTAAGTGCTATAATGATAATATTGCCACAGCACTAAGGGAATAAGAGTTCCCCTATATGTTATAAGTCTTTATCACACTTTAAACTTTTAGCATTTAATGGCATTTTTAAAATTCAGAAATTAAGAATGATTAACAATTTCTGCATTGAGAAGGCATTCTCAATAAAAACCCAAATAGTGTGAAACCATAGGGAATTAATTTCTCATTATTAACATTGTTTTCTTTTTAAATGCCATATCCTCTAATGATAATACCTCTACTCAATGGGAAAAAAATCTGTTCCTTATGATCTACTTATACCATTTCCTATGATATTATATCCTTATGATATTATTTTGTTTATGGTCAGTATCCTTAGATACTTAGCAGAAACCGAGTGTAATTTATATGAACCTGTAAAATGGGACTCAAGCTGGAGTCTTAATTCAAGGCTATACATTTATAGTATAGGAAAGGGGCAGTTATGATTGGGTATGTCTAGAATGTGAAATGATGAGATATTAGTGTAGCGGATGTGTTGACAATGTTATTCTTCCAGCTTTTCTCTGAACTACTTATATAGTTATAGCAAGATGATGAAGTTAAAGAGCTGTGATGAGATGAGTTCTAGAAATAACTCCATGTATATTGGAAATTAAGTTAAAAACTAGTCACTATCAGATAAATGTATTTAATGACTTTTTAAGATTAATGTACAACCTGAGAGCAACAGAAAGGAATAATTGGGAACTGGTGAATGCTTTTGACTGATTTGATTAATTAACATGCTAATTGGAGACTATATTGTTTTACATTTTAATAACTTCAGTTACTTTTTTAGAAAGGCTGATATTCTGATATATTTTAATAGATTTGGATTATGTATAATAGTATATATTAAATTTTATTTGCTGGATTTTGTGGAATAGAATATATATAAGTAGGAAAATTAATAAGATGATTTTTGAATGCTTATCCTCTGGGTTAAGGAGGACCAGCTAATATTAATTCTAATGCCTGAATTGTAAATTTAAGCACTCCTGTCAATGACACTTTATGTAATTCAAGTTCATATCCTATTCGGGTCATGAGCACCAGCACTGTAATTTTTTTTTTTTAATTAGGTTGAGGAAAATGTCGAGATATAGACAACACAATTTTACCACATCAATTCTGTGATCAATAATTTTTAATGTGTATCACTTGACACATTTTTATGTAATAAAATATACTATACATTATTTTACTTAAAAAATTTTAAAACATTGTCTAAAATGGTATCTTTGTTTATTTTATAGGGTGGGCTGAAAAACAGCAAACATGAATGCACTCTATCTTCACAAGAATATGTGCATGAATTACGATCGGGTATATCAGATGAGAAACTTCTTAATTGCCTAGAATCCCTCAGAGTTTCTTTAACCAGCAATCCTGTCAGGTAGGTCGTTCTGATCATTTTGGTATGATTCATATAATTGTTTGGGAATATAACAAGTTTTGTTATTTAAACCTCAAGATTTTCTGACTGAAAGTCTCATGTTAATAAAACAGCCGAATCTGATTGTGAAGTTGTAAACATTAAAAAACATATTTAGTTAATTGGATTTCTAGTAATGTACAATTTTAAGAATAGAAATATTAACATAGAGCCAGAAGTTAAATATTCACATTTACATGAAAATCTATTTGTGGGCTCAGTTTATTATCATATATTTATTTATAAAGCCAATAAAGTATGTTTGCTCCATGATTTTGTTCTTTTAATACTTGAAAGGTGTGTATAATTTCATGTTCTTCCATGTTTTATATATATTCTTCACACATTTCTGTAATTTTGAGAAATGAGAAAATAATTTAATCAATAAAAGAAATGAGGAGAGCAGTAGTAAACTCCTCAAAACTCTACTCATTTAGGCTATTAACTAACTACAGAGGATTGTTAGGAGGTTACTTGCCAATGGTGGATTCCAATAACTGTGGTTTCTTTATTAACCATTATAAAAGACTTTAAATCAGTAACACCCAAAATAAAATGTTTTATAAAGAAAAACAAAATTTCAGTGAAATATCAAAACATTCTTGGCTGGATCTGGTGGCTCAGGCCTATAATCCCTGAACTTTGGGAGGCTGAGGCAAGTGGATCACTTGAGTCCAGGAGTTCAAGACCAGCCTGGCCAACATGGCGAAACCTCATCTCTACCAAAAATACAAAAAAGTCAGCCAGACGTGGTGGTGTGTGGCTGTGGTCTTAGGTATTCAGGAGGCTGAGGTGGGAGCATCACCTGAGCCTGGGAAGTGGAGGTTGCAGTGAGCCCAGATCATGCCAGTGCACTCCAACCTGAGAGACAGAGCAAGACATTGTTTCCAAAAAAAAGTTTTTTTTCTATGATCTATTTATACAAATACTAGAATCTTAAGTTAAGAATTTACTCTGTAAGAGCATATTAAAAACTTCCTGTGATTTTATGCATGTTGAAAGACTATTGCCAATTTTTGTTTTGTTTTGTTATGTTTAGTTGTTTGTTTGTTTTTGAGACGGGTGTTTCATTTGCTACGCAGGCTGGAGTGCAGTACCGTGGCACGATCTCGGCTCACTACAACCTACATCTCCTGGGTTCAAATGATACTTCTACCTCTGTCTTCCTAGTAGCTGGGATTACAAGTGTGCACCACCACACTCGGCTAATTTTTGTATTTTTAGTAGAGACGGGGTTTCACCACGTTGACAGGCTGGTCTCCAAGTACTGACCTTAAATAATCGTCCTGCCATGGCCTACCAAAGTGTTGGGATTACAGTCTTGAGCCACTGTGCCCAGCCAATACTCCTAGTAATGGTTTGAACAGGGGACGTGAGTTCTTGAGAAGTTGCATTTCCCGCCCTGCACATAAAAGCTATAGTACCAAGCAGTTTGTGCTCCTAAAATTTCTGTTGCATTGTTGTTTGAGTGAATAAATGCGTCTTTTAAAAGTGATTGCGGAAGTTGCATCGTTAAGAAATGAAGAGGGGGGACTAGTAAAAATGTATTTTGATAGAGATGGTGAGAAAGGCAGGCTTTAAAAGACACGTGGGACTTATTTCTGGACAGGCGCTTTGACCGGCTAAGCAACAGGGGTCCCCTCGTGTGTCACTGGCACACAGGGAAGGATTATCACAGCAGGTGAGAAGGTGGCAAGCCCTGATTGGCTGGAAGCAGATGCATTGTGGTAGCTGATTGGTCCCACAGGTAGCGTGAAGCTTGTCACGTCGTCAGGTTCCCAGCATTCAATCCGAGCCTTCTGTGGAGAGGTCCAAGCCTTCAGCGGAGCCGCAGACGAGCCTTGAAGATGAGTAAGAGTGGGTTTGGGAGCTCTGACAGCATTTCTGCTTCCGGTGGAGCGAGTGGAGGCAGTGACCAACAATCTGAGAGAGGTGCAGTTCCTGCTGTTAAGACCCAAAGACCTAGGGTCCGAATCCAGGACATCGTACCGTGTAATGTGAACCAGCTGCTCAGCTCTACTGTTTTGGACACAGTGTTCAAGGTTAGGGGAATTACAGTTTCCCAGGTCTCCATCGTGGGGATAATCAGAGGGGCAGAGAAGGCTTCAAATCACATTTGTTACAAAATTGATGATATGACCGCGAAGCCCATCGAGGCCCGACAGTGGTTTGGGAGAGAAAAAGTCAAGCAGCTGACTCCACTGTCAGTCGGACTATATGTCAAAGTGTTTGGTATCCTCAAATGTCCCGCGGGAACGAAGAGCCTTGAGGTATTGAAAATTTATGTCCTCGAGGACATGAATGAATTCACTGTGCATATTCTGGAATCGGTCAATGCACACATGATGCTGGATAAAGCCCGTGGTGATGCCACTGTACAAAGTGTGCCTGTGTCTGCATCAGAAGTGGATGATGCTGGGGATAATGATGAGAGTCGCCGCAATTTCATCCGGGACGAAGTGCTGCGTTTGATTCAGGAGTGCCCTCGTCTGGAAGGGAGGAGCATCCATGAGATCCACGCTCAGCTCTGCCACCTTGGCATCCAGGCCATCAAGGAAGTGATTGATTATCTGACCCTCGAGGGCCACATCTATCCCACTGTGGATCGCGAGCATTTTAAGTCTGCTGATTGAGGCAGGGAAACCATCCTTTTATTTTCTGAAGACCCTTGAATCCACCTGTGAGTAATTTTGACCTGTTGACTTTTTAGGAAACGACAAAAAAAAAAAAAAATACTCAACTGGCATTCTTCAAGAACTCGCTGCTTTTCCAACTGCTTTGAACTTTTCTTTTTTTTCTACCTATATTTGAAGCTCAGAGAGAGATAGTGATGGGTAAAATGACTGAACTCTGTAGGATTTACTAGCAAGCTAATGGAAAAAGTGATTTTGGGTGAATAAAAACTACAGAAAATGTTGAAATTTATAATTCGTGTTCGAGCTACTTTTCCCAAAATATCTGTGTATTGCGAAAAAATAATTGCAGTCACGGAGCTAGCTAAAAGACAAAAATAAAAAAAAGTATTGCTTGTTTTTATGTTAGACTTATTTTCCATGTTTAGATTTAGCTTATCATAGTGATATTGTTATCTCTTGCTCAATATAGTATTTACTATTTGATTAATTCAAATGAGCTGAAGATATTAATTTGTGAATTCTAATGCTCAGTTCATTTATTGTGTGAATTGCTGTTATTACTATGAATTTATGTTTTCTTAAAATAAGATTATACTGTGTGTAAATAAATCATTTTTGCCAGTTTATCTTTGAATATAGTTGTTTAATATAGGTAATTTTAATGATTATTTCAAATATGATGTGGTATTTGATGAAATTACAGTTTCTGGTAGTTGTATGGTAAACGGATGCCAGAGTTTCTGTAAGTTCGATGTGCTGCTATGTTATGTATTTTACTAAATGCTCCGTTTTATGTATAACAGGGTATTTTTTAGGAGGTTAGGGAAACAAGTCATAGGAATATGAAACTTACTGAGTTTGACACAGCCTTATTTGAATGTTTTATTAAAATAGTTTTACAAAAACTTAACTTTCCTTTATGATTTTTTTCTAAGGATATTTGAAAAAGCCTTTTTGTTTTATATCCTTGAGGATAGTTTTAATTGTCCAGGATTTTTTCTTTTCTATATATTATACCAAGAACATATGCTATAACCTAGTTCTAATAATACATTTTAGTGTAGATTATATAAATTATGTGAGAACTTTAAATAATTGACCATTAATGAAAACCCTCAGTTACATATGCACTAAAGATGGCATCTTTCAAGATGCTAAACTTTTTACATTAGAGGAAAGAAAAATATATACTTTTGAATTAATATATTTTATATTTTATATGATATATGTATATTCATATACAATATATATTTAGAAGGGAAGAACATTATTTAATTGAATCATGAAAACTGCAAAAAAAAAAAAAATCTCTTAAATGCAGCTTTGCTAGTAATCCATACTTTCAGGAAAACTTTCAGAAAATGGCTTCTGTCAGTGGCCATTAGAAAAACTTACCATCAATTCTTGCTTAAGATTTATGATGCTTTCTGTACACCTGAATTTAAGGCAGAAGACCAACCTCTCCCCCATCCTCTGAGGGGAAATATCCTCTATCTGTGTTCCTTGGGGTTCTTTTAGGTTTTTAAAATTACTCCCCCAAGCCCTTGTTCTTCTGAATGAAATCATGTGCTTTAGTGGATTCTGCAGCAGGTAAAAGAGAGCAGTGGAAAAATAGTAAGCAGGTCTAGACATAATGTCAGTGGAAATCAAGCATTTTTAGGCACAACACAATCACTGGATTGTTTTATACATGCATATTTGGTCCATGTTAAAGGCAGCAGATTTTTAAAGTTCCTTTTCAACACCCACGTGGCATGCATACTTCTTTTTCAATTTTGTTTAGACCTCCGAGGTCCCGCCCTGATTGTTAGCCACACCTTTTGAGGATAAGATACAAATCGTGGGGACATACAATTGACTATTTTGGGCAAGGACATTTAAGCCTGAGGAACCTGAAAAACATAATTGACGATTATAATCCACCTAAGGTTTATTCCTATGGCTCACAGGAATAAATGTATGTATTTATATTGAGCTTGATTCTAAATTAACAATGAATAAATATGTTTGAAAATGTTTTGAAGGCCAATATAATAGTCTTACTGTGGTCATAATTATTAGTGATTATTTTGTTACTTTTACCTACTAAATATAGTAATATTTGGAGTAGAAGCTGAAAAACTTAAATTCTTATATTTTTCCTGTTTCTGTTTACTTTTTATAACAAATTTCAAAAAGGTAACTAGCAAGAATTATATTTGTTCATGAAATCTTTAGTAAGTTCCTACTATATGCATTTAAGTGTTAACTTGAATTTTGATAAGCTTAAATTTAATTGACTTCTGAAAGGCTTATTAAAACTATCCTGTCTCTACCAAAATACAAAAATAAAAATAAAAATAAAAATAAAATAAAAAATAAATAAAAACAGGCATGGTGTCATGTACCTGTAGTCCCTGCTACTGGGGAGGCTGAGGCAGGGGAATCACTTGAACCTGGGAGGCAAAGGTTGCTGTGAGCCAAGATTGCGCCACTGCACTCCAGATTGGTGACAGAGTAAGACTTGGTCTCCAAAAAAAACACAAGTAGTTGTTAACATTTTAACATTTCTGTAGTATTATCTCCCAAGTACTGTTCTGAGAGTGGGAGTTTTGTGTATGTGTTGTGTGTGTGTGTGTGTGTGTGTGTGTATGATCCCTGTGATGCCTAGATTTACATTTTCGGCTTATACTTCTCTCTTAAAATTGAGATTCTGGTTTTTTTTTTTTTTTAAATTGAGATTCTATTTCCAAATGTCTTCTTGGATGGCATATAGGCATTTTAAATATATCAACAAATAGTAATGAAAAATTATGTGTGTGTGTATATGTTATATATATATGTACAGATATATATGGTAGTATGTATATGACATTTACTACCCCTATGCAATGTTGTAGTACCGTGAAATATACATATACAACCAGGATAACATTATTAGTATTGTTCCTATTTTATAGACAAAGTTGAGGCTCAGAGAGGTTAAGTAATTTGCTACATGTTAAAGTTACATGGCCAGCAAGTGTCAGTGTTAACATTTAAACCCAGGCTGTGTATCTCTAGATTCTGAGCCCTTAACTACTACTTTGTACAGTGTCATAATAAGGAAAGTCTATTAAAAATAGTATTCTTTCACTGTTGTTAGTATTCTGTCACTGTTACCACATACTGTTTTGACTTTCTTTCATTAAAAGTTGTCTGATTTAAAAGAAAAAAACTATGAAAACTTTCAGCAAAAAGTATAGAAGATAATATAAAACACCTTTTTACTCATCTATCAGCTTAAGAGACAAAACATTACTTTTTGTCGTTATAGAGAACTTAGTTGAATAACTTAGGTGAATTTTTTATGACACTGTAATACCATTTGGGACTATATTTTCATTGATTTGAAAGATCATCTGAAATTCTACATTTTCTTAAAAGTCTATGCTTGTATTTCTTGAAATATAATGTCTCAAGAATATGTACAAGTGCATTGAAAAGGCTATTTTTTTCTGATCACATAGCTGTGTGTAAATTGGGACTTCTTTGTCCTACCCATTGTGGATGATACTTCTAGTAATTCTAACACCATCTGTATGATGTTTATTCCAATTTGCCATCATGTGATAAATTAAGAAAATAATTTTTTAACATTAAGAGTTAATTTGCTTTGGTAATAACTTAAATTGGAGAGGTTCAATAAATAGCGCTTACTACTATGGGGCTTATACATATGGAGCTTACATTCCAGTACAGGAATTCAGACAAATTTTTTAAAGGTGTATATAAAATGTCAGGTTGTGATATGAGCTGAGGAGGAGATGTTGCTATTTTATATTAGATGATCGGTGAAAGCCCCCCTGACTTTAATGACATTTGCACGGTGATCTAAAGGAAGTGTGGCAGTAAGTTATGTTCACTGGAAGAGTAATGTTTTTAGAAACAGAAAACGGCAACAGCAAATACCAAAGATGGGAGCATGCTTGGCATATTCTAGGAATGTCAAGGAGGCTGGCATGCTGGATAATGTAGAGCCTTATCCACCATTCGGAGAACTTTGGCTTTTTGAGTGAGCTGGGACACTCAGAGAGTTTTGAGGAATTGAATGGCATGAGGTGACCTACATTTCTAAAGAATAGCCCTGGGTAGAAGCAGGGAGAACATGTTGTACATTACAGTAAGGGAGCTGGAAATATCACAGGAATTCTAGGGATAACTGTGTAGTTGTGCCTCACGGAGGTTACTATGGAAGGTTAATTCATGAATCAGTTTATTTTCCTGATATTTATTGCCTGACCTTTGTATTGCCCTGTTCACATTTCTAATGAGGAGATTCTGGTCCCCATTTGTTTCTGCTTGGGGAAAGCTTTTCATGTCAGGCCACCTCAGTTAGCAGGCCAACTTAAGTGCTTATCATACTGTTGGTCAGGTGCCCATTCCTAATCAAGTCAGTTTGCCCTTTGTGAGGGAGAGAGGCAGGACAATGCATAGTGTCTTATATAAAAGTAAAAGAAATCCCTGAAACTAAACTGGAATTATTGAATATTATTATTTAGTTTCCTAGGGTTTCCATAAGAATTACCACTAACTGGGTGGCTTAAAACCACTAAAATGTATTCTCTTGCAGTTCAGGCAACCTGAACTATAGATGCTCGGGGGAGGATTTTTCCTTGCCTCTTCTAGCTTCTGGCATCTCTTGACTTGTGGCAGCATGAATACTAATCTCTGCCTTTATGGTCACATGGCCTTCTCTGTGTATCCTTTCTGTCTCTTATAAGGACATTCTAATTGGATTTAGGGCCCACCCTACTCCAGTAGTATATAGTGTTATCTCGATCCTTACCTTAATTATGTCTGCAAAGACCCTATTTCCAAATAAGGTCATCTTCTGAGATTCTAGGTAGATAGTATTCAACCTACTACAATTATGCTAGGAAAACTTATCCTTGAAACCATTGAAAATAACCAAAATAAGCTAAATTCTGTCTAGGTAATTAGGTCAGAATATCCAAAAAATCATTTAGTAGGTTTATCATCCTTAATTAAATTAAATGTTGTTAGCTTTGTTCCCTTTAAAAAACAAAATTTTCTGTTGTATTGAATTCTGAGAAGTAGCCTGTTACACTGATGGTGGCAGCAGCCCACCCGGAGCAGCCACTGTGGGGATTTAAGCTACAGCTGGGGAGGCGCAGCCAGGGCTACGTACTCCAGGGAGCCCCACCCCCTACTGAGTTGGTGGGTGTAGGAGCCCTGCACTCCGCTCCCACGTGCAGCTGCCACCACTCAACCTCAGCTCCAGACCTGGGCATCTCTGTGCTCTCCAGGGCCCTGGAAGTCCCTCAGCCCCTGCAGGCTCAGAAGTGCCAGCTCCTGCTCTCTGGCTTCTCTCTACTCCCTGCATCTGATTTCAA